TTCCATGAGAACAACTTGCTGATGAAGTTCCCAGTAAAAAGCAGCTGCAGCTTCTAAATGCTACAATACTTACTGCAGTAAACTGACCAACTTGGATTTTGATTTTATATCTTCTATGCACAGCATGAATGAATGTGAGATTACATACTGCTAAAAGAATGAAGCTTCATTTCAAACCTCTGATTCACTGTACACGTGGCTGTTTTTTAAAGCAAGTCAAATAATCAGTGAAAGAACTTCACATTGCTATAGAGAAAGTGACCAAGAAGAGGAAGGTTTTAAAGCAAAAAAAAAGGAGTTGATCACAAAAGTATTGTAATTCTTTTTTGATGGTTACAGAATTGCCACACTAAATCTAGAAGCAACATTTGACATATTATTTACACTAAGTCTTATATACACAAGAAAGTAAAATTTAGCCTGTTAGCCTCCGCAAGTGAGTGTGAGGGCTGTTAGTTCAAACTGCGACTTGCTACACTAACAGAGCATAACTTCTCACATTTAACTGTAACAGTTAAACTTTCGAACTGATAACAGCTGACTGCCAGCTGTTGTTGTCCTCTCGTCTCAAATTCATAGCAACTACATGAACACTTAGTGTGAGAGAGAATTTGGGTGCTTCAGAATAAAAGCACTACGGTACTATAACTATTTAAATGTATTATAACATAACTGTATGTACCTTGATAAGTGCATTTTAACTATTGTAACATTGTAATTAATTCAACTTTATTCCAACAGAACTAACAGATAGCAGACTTGTATAATTGCCTGATGACCTCTTGGTCAGTAGTGATCCTTTAGACAGATGCAAGGGGTTTAAAGCAGTACTGCTGTTTAAATAAAACTCAGAAAGACTGATGGATATTCGATTTAAATTCTTGATGGAGGCAGGACTAATTATATACAAGTTTCTACTTCAATATCTTGTCATCTAGTCATATGTAATACTTGTATACCATTGTACCAGCTCTAATGACTACCAGGCACAATTTGGTGAAAATCTTAATTCTTGTCAACTGTTTTGTTCATCACAATGAGATTTAGTCATTACATGATAGTGGTAATTTACAGAAAAAAACAAAAAAACATGTCTGCAATCAAAGAGATAAAATACCAAATTCTGACATATCCTCCAGCTATATTCCCAAATTAAAAGCCAATATGCGAGATCTGATCTGAGACTGGCTTTTATTTTTAAGTAGGGATGAAAGAGCTGAGCAAGAGAACTTTTATACTCGTGGGTCTACAACTGCTGAGTGGCTGGCAGGCAGGCAGGGAAGCAGGCGAGCAGGCAGCAGCAAGCTTCCAGCCCGCAGGCTCCAGTGGACAGGATAAGGCTTCTTTGTTCAAGACTCCTCCTACTCCTCAGAGAAATGAGAACTTAGACCCTGCTGCCTGACAAGGAGCCCACTCACCACACACACACACACACACACACACACACACACACACACACACACACACACACACACGGATGATCACAGATGGACAAGCCCACACGCATGGATAGACAGCACACACGACACATGTACATACCTCACAAACACATGCCAGTGCAGAGGACATGGCTACATATCAACAAAACTTTGCAGCAAAATATTTTTAAAACACTAAGACTGATGGGGGAAATATAACTTTTTATTTCTGTCCCATACAAGAAGTACTAATTTGGTTCATGGTTTTCCTTCTGTCACTACATTTTCCCCTCCCACTGACTTTAACGCGATGTGATTGGACAACAGAGATAACTTATGTTTCCATCTTTACAGCTACGCCCAATATCTAAGGTGTCAGGTGTCTGCCTGTGTCAACACTCAGTGAAAATATGACTGAACTAACAGACAAGAGATGGCCTACGTCACGCAACTCAATAACAACACACATTATTTAGCATAGGATCAGGTAAGCTCAAATGAAAACTGCCACTCAAGCAAAACATATGAGAAAATGTTTTTTTGAAAAGAGGAGACTGAACAAAAAATCTTCACAAACGCAGGAAAAGTCACCATTTTGCAGAGTAGTCCATGGAGACAAAACACAAGCTGCATAGACAGAAACAGCTAGCAAACTCTAACAGCTAGAGTGGTATCAGATAACAATCTCTGGATATCTGGACTGTATGTATGTGAGTGTGTGTGTGTGTGTGTGTGTGTGTGTGTGTGTGTGTGTGTGTGTGTGTGTGTGTGTGTGTGTGTGTGTGTGTGTGTGTGTGTGNTGTGTGTTTCCTCTCCATATTTCTCTCTTATGTGTGTATTAGTGTGTGTGTGTGTGTGTGTGTGTGTGTGTGTGTGTGTGTGTGCGTGTGGTGGAGGGGTTGCAGGGCTTCTTTCTCTGGTTTGCTTTCCAGCTTCTTCCCAAGAACTAAGTCCATAATTTTCAAATTAAACATAATCGCTGATTGACAAACGAGTTCAATGAAGCTAAGAGCTCATGCATGTTAAATAAAGATGAGTAGACTGCAAAGTGTTCTTCAGTATTTTCTTTTAGCTGCTATTTTTAGCTTTCACTTCTTCTGAAACGACAACCGGTCATTCTCCACTTTGGTGTAATCACTGTTCTTTGGACGGCCACAGCAGTTAAAAGAAGGAAAGAACTTTTCAGAGGCTGACTCTGACTGCAGCTTTTACAAGTAACTAAGCAGTTACCTTTGCCAGGGAAAGAATCTCCCATGAGAAACCTCAAACTAAACGACTAAAAATAAGATGCAGTTAGGATGGCCCAGAGGCAAATAGGTTTCCAGCATGAAATAAAATATCCCGATGAAGCTATGTAAACTAGAAAGCCCTGAATCTGGATTTCAGTCAAATAAAAACTGGCTTTCCTTGGTTGCAGATTAACGTACAGCACAGAGAGTCAAATGACTTCAAGGTCATAGTCAAAATGAAGATTAAATAAAAGAATTGGCTTATCACAGGTTATTCCCAGCACATAATCATGGTACAATGAGCAAGTTTAAAAGCCTGAACCACAGGCGTTTTTTCTTTTAATGTTGCATAAGTTTTATTTTTACAGAACCTAAAACTTGCAACACCAACTGAAAGCTGATATTACAATAAGTCCAATGTAATTTAGCACTCCAACTTACCTAATAAAATCCAACTTGTGATACACGAGTAGGAGGATCAGTGCATGCAGAAGTTAACCGCACGGTGCATGAAAAAAATCTCTCTTCAACATTGAACGACTGAGACAACAGACGAACACGAGTGGGAAGATGGATTTACCGCAGTGCATAATGTTAATTCTCCCACCACTGACACATACATAATAGAAAACGAGATGACTCTGTACAAATGTCACAACGCACAAGCTAATCCTTTGTTATGTGGGTGCCCAGAGAGTCACAAGACGAAGGAACAAAAGACCCTTCCCCTTGTTCTTCTTGAACAACTTGATTGAACAGTCGTAGATTCCTGCACTGTCACACGGCCAAGAGAATGAAGAATTTTCATCAGCCGCCAAAGCAAAGCTGGTTTTGTGAGTTTGTGTATTTGTGAGTCATCAAGATCATGGCAAATTAAGGTCCCAGAGGACTAGATAACTGTCATATAAAATATTCATTTACATAATTTCTATTACCTATACCTGCATATTCACGCCGACCACCTAATTACTTAATAGACTGCTACTGGTAGAGCTTTGGAGGCATTAAGTTGTAAAAGGAAAGCTGTGCTTAGTTATGTTTTTAAGTTTGAGAATATACATAAAATGAAGCTCATTGGCAGAGGAGCGATCATATTTAGTAGTTTGAGAAAAAATTATTCCACAATTAAAATCCATTGCAATTGTTTGTTTTAAACTCTTTGTTGTGAGCAGAGAATCACCAACACATTTTACAAATCTGAGGTAGATAAATGTGCTTGCACAAAGCATTATAATCAATATATACTGACCTTGTTATATTGCTATTGATGATGATGACATTGTGATTATTACTCATATTGTTTCATCACCTTGCCCTATGTGGGGTTTGCTCCAATAGTGATTATAATTCAACTGCTGTATTTGATAAAGTAATTTCGTTTCCATGTGCAAACATACACAAATGTGAGCAACATGTTAATCCTCACTCTATGTGGTAGTTTTCCCTTACTCTTGTTGAAGTTTAAGGACAGAGGATGTCGCACATTGTTAAACCCTATGAGACAAATTGTGTTATGGGCTATACAAATAGAATTTGAGTGATTGATGATTGATTGATTTATGTGTTTGCACACGCTTAGCTATATTAATACACTGCCAGAAACAGTGCTCTACTCTTCATCCAAGGCTTCCAGTGAATCCAGTGTACAATTTATAGTGTTCTATTCTGTCACTGCACAGCCCTGTGAGTGACAACTAGGTGATTGTGATAATGCTTGAAACACAGCTCTAACCTCATTGACTGGCTCTGCAATAAATAGAAGTGGCCAGGGTCCCATGACTGACTCAGTCAAACTGAGAGAACGAGAGGAAGAGAGAAAGAGATCTCTGACACCAGTGCCCCGGCCGAGCAGTCCTTCACCACCAATCAGCGCTCCAGAATCTCTGGAATCTCTGGAAGCGGGAATGTGGGAACGCTGGAGATGTGAGTCATTTTTCTGTTGTGCAGTCCCTGTTTCCAAGCTTCCAGAGAGCTGCAGCTATAAGCAGAACACTGGGGAGCCAGCTAAACCTGGCGTAGCACCCTGGGGTCCAAACTGGGACTTCTGAGAAGGCCTGCTTGTGCAAAGCTTTTACCAAGCGAGGAGCCCGCAAACACAAGGCCAACAGAATTTTTTTTAAAACAGTGAGTTTTCTGTGTATATGTAGTTTCTAGGAGCATGGTGGCTTCTTCACAGGATACAGTGTATTTTTGTTTTAAAGGAGAAGGACAGAAAAGAGAAGAACTAGGGAATTGCAGATCTCTTTCCTTGCATCTCAGGAAATTAGTATCTGGAAAATAACTATTTCAAGGTCTCGATGAATTTTAATAGAATGTGTGCAAGTGTCTGGTCAGCCTCAGTGTATCCACTTACAGCTGTGTGGCAAACAGTCGGCTCATCTTTGCCACATGCTCGTTGTCGTCCATGTCGCTGTCCCCCTGGTCCCCATTCAGCTTTCTCTTGGTGGGGCTAATGGGAGGAGGACCTGTCCTGTGGCTGGAGATGGAGGAGGATGACGATGACGATGATGAAGAGGAGGAGGAGGAGGAGGACAGGGACAAGGACTGGAGTCTGGGGTCCCCCCTCAAAGCTGCTTCACCTGAGGTTGAAGAAGAGCAAGGGAAGAAGAGAAAGGAGCAATCATTAATATTTATAAAGACTGTATAACAAGACTTAATCACAATCTTGGTCATTTCAAAATGACTGAAACTGAAGCGATAGATGTGAAGTTGCTGTCAACTCATGTGCATTCGCTTTAAACAGGCAGCATAGCCATAAATGTCAATTATAGTAGTTAGTCAAAATGATGGTATTTTCAAGTAGAAGGCGACTGTTTTATTGCCTCTTTAAACAGTGAGACCGCAAAAACTACTTCATGACAGTGTTTTACTGTACCGGCTGTGTTTCAGCTCAAACTTTGGATTTTGTTGACATACAGTTTGCTGAGAGCGGCACAAACCTCTGCCATAAGCAGAAGTATCTGGTTGTGAATGTTTTGGAAGAAATAGTTGTGGATGGGTTCTGCATGTGTGTTTGTGTTGTGAACTATTTCTCTCTGCTTCCCTCCAGTTTCTGTTACAGAAGACCTACAGAGTGGTCGGGGAGTGGGAGTAAAGAAGCTTAAGAGAATCAGGAAAACTACCGCTGGCTCTGTCTCAGAACGGGGACTTTCCACTGCTTCGGCCTCATGTATCTGTCTGACGTTTCCCAAACAAAACATTAAGCTTGGATTTAAACTCCTACTACAACTCACAGCTTTCTCTATAACTACTCCTGCAGTGCTGATTAT